GCGCCCGGCCTCCCAAAGCGCTGGGATTACAGACGTGAGCCACGGTGCCCGGCCTCCCAAAGCGCTGGGATTACAGGCGTAAGCCTCGGTGCCTGGCCACAGTCACTACTTCAGCCAGGCTTTCAACAACAGCCAGTTCAGCATCAACAGTCATATTCCCATGGACAGCTTAAACCTTTGCTATGAGGAGATGAAATGGCACTTTGCTTCTGTGGTCTTCCCTGCAACAACCCATAACTCAGTCTAGTCATGAGCAACACATCGGACAATTTCCAATAGTGGGAGTACCCTTGAAAATGATGGACTTCTTGCAGGAGAATGCTGTGAACGCCGGCGAGGCGCGCGGGTTGCAGTGAGCCGAGATCCGTGCCACTGGCACTCCAGGCCCTGGGCTAAGGAGCAAGACTCCGTCTCAAAAAAAAAAAAAATGGAAAAAACTTGGCCGGGCGCTGGTGGCACAATGGCCTGTATCCCCTGCTACTTTGGCGAGGCGAAGTTTAGAAATTGGCTTGAACCCAGGGATTGGCCAGGAGGTTGCAGTGAGCGAGATCCATGCCACTGCCACTTCCAAGCCTGGGTGACAGAGCGCGACTCGCGTCTCTCTTCTCTCTCTCACACACACACACCACAACACACACACACACACACACAGTTACACATTGCATTCAGGGTGTCCTGGTATCTTGTAGTTTTCTCCCGGCTGTCCAAGCTTGCTCAGATGTTTTGCTTGTTTTCCATGCCTTGTCAGGTTTTGCGAGATAGGAAGTCCATCATTTTCAAGGGATACTCCCACTAATTGAAGATTTGTCCGATTTGTGTTAGTCATGACTAGACTGAGTTGATGGGATTGTTGCCAGGGAAGACCACAGAAGCCATAAAGTGCCATTTCAGTCTTCCTCATAAGCAAGGTTTGTTAAGCTGCTCCATGGCGAATATGACTGTTGATGCTTGAAACTTGGCTGTTGTTGAAAGGCCTGGGGCTGAAGTAAGTGACTTGTGGGGCCAGGCACCGAGGCTTACGCCTGTAATCAGGCGGCTTTTGGGAGGCCGGCGGCACCGGTGGCTCACGGTCTGTAATCCCAGCGTTGGCGGAGGCCTTGGCCGCAGGTAATCCCAGCCCGCTTTTGAGAAGGGCCAAGAGAGGCGGGACACTTTAAGCCCCAGGTGAGACCTGCCTTACGGCAACATAGTAAGATTCTCATCTGTACAAAAAAAATCAAAAAAATTAGCTGGGCATGTGGCCACACCTGTTAGTCTCAGCGCTACTTGAGAGGCTGAGATGGTTAGGTCTGTGAGCCTGGAGGGTCGAGGCTGTGCAGGTGAGCCCCCGCGATTATTGCCACCTTGCCCCTCAGCGGCTGGGGCGGACAGACGTGAGACCCTGTCTCTAAAATAGAATGTGTGTAAATAAATAAATTTGTAAAAAGAAAAAGAGGGCTGGGCATGCTGCTTTTCACGCCTGTAATCCCAGCACTGTTTGGTTGAGGCTGAAGCGACGCGTGGGTGAGGATCACCGTGAGGGTCGGAGATTCAGACCAGCACCTGACCAACACAAGCTGCAAACCGTCATCTGCTTACTAAACAATACAAAAATTAGCTGGGCGTCGTGTGGGCAGGTGCCTTTTATAAATCCCATGCTACTCGGGAGGGCTGGGGAGGCAGGAGGGAGAATCACTGCAACTCGGAGTGTGATGGTTGCGGAGGGTGGACCCGAGATTGGTGCCACTGCGACTGCAGCCTCGGTGACAGATCGAGACTCCATTCTCAAAACACAATAGGGCTAGGCCGGCCACGGTGGCCTCGAGTGGCCTGTAATCCAGCACTTTTTTTTGGCCCTGAGGCCAAGGGGGGTGGGAGATCACTGGAGGTACAGGGAGGTTTCCGAGGACAGCCTGCACCAACATGGAGAACCCCCCATCTCTACTAAAATTAAGCAAAAATTAGGGCTGGGCATGGGGTGGTGGCACCTGTAATCCCAACTTCTCAGGGAGGCTGAGGCCCAGGCGGAGAATCACTTGAAACCAGGGAGGCGGATGGTTGCAGGTGAGCCCGAGATCATTACAAGCTTGCTCTCGTGGCTTTGGGCAACAAGAGCGGAACTCCCGTCCCTCAAAAATATAGTATCAATATAGCTAATAATCAGGAGGAAGAAAAAATTAAAGGAGAGAAAAGGTCTGCTAACAGCTCACTCTTCTCGCTCTCTATAGCGATTGTATGGGCAAACCTTCCCTCTTCTGCGGGATCGGGGTTCCGGTGTTGATGCCGGGAGAGAATATTTTCGGTCACGATGCCGCCTCAGCACACATCGCCAGTTGATAGGGATTTTCACTGGCGCAAGGGGAGGGAGAACTTTCTCGCCAGAGCTACCAGGTGGGAACACGCCGGCCAACTGATCTTCTCTTTGGCGGCGCGGGCGGGGGGGGCTCCTGTGGAATCCCTCAATGTCTCAGGGAGGCTACTCAGGTGCTGACGGCTTGGTACAACAGGGAGCCTACCTGTGGTCCTTCCCCAGTAATGCCTGGAGCTTTGTGGTCACATAAGGAGTAGGGTACCTCGCGTGCCAGCCCTGTGTTCCGGGTTTGGCTGTCAGGCCTGGTCACTGGGCAGGAGGTTCATGAATATGAACGAAGGTGCACTTGGAATAATGCGAAGAGAGGCATAAGACTCCCCACTCAGGGACAGTGGAGAGAGAAAGGTTCCCACCCAACTTTCGCACCTTCGGCTTCCTCGCTAGAGTTCTCCAGGACGATGTTAATTGAAAACTTGTGGCTATGGAGAAAAGGAAGGACCTCGCTCATTTTATTTTATTTTATTTTCTGTGGATGGAAGTCTTGGCTCTGTCGCAAGGCTGGAGTGAGTGGACGATCTCGGCTCAACTGAACCTTCGCCTTCCCGGGTTCAAGGCGAGTTCTCCTAGCTCAGCCTCCTGAGTAGCTGGGACCATAGAGACAGAGTTTCACCAGTGTTGGTCAGGCTGGTCTCGATCTCATGACTTGTCGGTCCACCTGGCCTCGCCTCCCAAAGTGCTGGGGACTACAGGCATTGAGCCCTGTGCCCAGCCAATAAGGGGCTACTCTTTAGGATCACATGTTTTATGGACTGGTTGAGACAGTAGAATACCGGCTCAACCTTGTGCTACCACACCTCTCCTTTCAGTTGCAGGCGTGGAAATCCTCGAACTCACCAATCCGTACTAGAATCCACATGAGTGATCAAATGGTCCCTCATGGTGACCATTCAGTGACCAAATATGTGAGTGAGGGGTCAAATAGTGACCATATTTGGTGACCAAATAGTAGTGAGAGGTCATAGGAAAGACTTTAAAACCTCTATCATGGAGCCCATTTTTATTTTATTCATTTATTTATTTTGGAGACAGGAATCTTCTTTCTGTGCCCAGGCTGAATGCAGTGCGCAGTCTCTTTCACCCACTCAACCCTCCACTCCATCGAAGCAGTGTTGTGCTAATGTAACTAACCCAGCGTTCACCCTCACACATCCATGTACTTTGTATTTTAGAAATGTTGTTGTGTTGCTACTG